AGATATTCTGGCATTGCTTCTTCAGGGAAATACAGGGTGATTCAAAATTGGCGTCATACCTTTTACGAGATAATAGAGGCTCACTTGGAGAGTATGAGATAAATGTAGAAACAAAAATTCGAAAATTTCTAGAAGATATTTACAGTTGAAAATCGAATTTTGACTTTGTTATTAAGCATTATTTTGAAACTCTTTTATGTTTAATTTGTAGCATATTGGAATACTTAAGCATTAACCAAGAAAAATTACGATCCTTGCTTCAAATTACGCAATTTTTTTATATTAAAATAGTTCTCTGCTACATTTTTTTGATGAAAAGTCAAAGCGTCAACAATTTTTTTGTCATCAACAGAAAGCTACAGGTTATTACACTTGTCATTATTGACAACAATAATTTGTCAAACAGTGACTTACTTTAAAGTGTCTTTCACAAATTTGCGGATATGCGATTAGTTCAGCGAAAATGCCACAGTAACATAGTAGGAGCTGTAAGAACGGACGCCAACAAAGGGCTAGAAACTGGAACATTTTTCCATGGTTGCCGAAATTGTTCATAATTACGAAGAAATTGGTTTTTTCCATAACGTTGATTAGGCAGATTATCTGGAAAAACATTGTATATATAAATATCTCAGTTTTTAATAACAATTAATTTTTTAACTATTTTTTCTGTACTTTCGAAAGACCCCCAGACAACACATCCAGAGGAATGACGACAATTTTGAAACACCCTGTATACACCGTGACTGATATCAAGTGTCCCTTAACTGACCAAGCGTGTATCGCGACCTGACGGCGACCCCTGAAGTCTGCAAATTTGAATGATAATATTATAGTTCATCATATTATTTATATACGTTTAAAAGCATTATATTCTAAGTTGCATAAAAAAGTTACACGAGATAGAATTTGAACGTCACAGTGTAATTGCTTTTTATTTGGCTGGGATCTCAGCAGGTCATCTTTACTCAGCGAAAGAATCTTAACGCGGACCATAACGTGATGCAATTACAGCACAGTTACGTGCGTTACAGGATACAGAACCTGCAAATGCTTAATCCCTCAACCAATTCCGTTTGCCAAGTACAAACGTCAGCTTTATTTTTATTAATTTAACATTCATAGATAATCCCATCGTGACTCTGTCTGCCTTTTACACCTACTCAGAAGAAATTGTGAGGGACCAATAAGGTCTGCTCATTTTTGTATGGTTATGTTACTCATCATCTTGTCAGAATCCTTGAAAACCTATGTTTTTTGTGATTCCTGTGGCGGAGAGAACATAAATTTCAAGAAAATTCGGATATCTGCGACATTTAGTACACGAAAAACGAGATTTGATACCACTGCGTTTCCAGAAGACTGAGCATATGCATTTATGGCGCACCTAGGCGAAGCAAAATCATCCAACAGGAATACTTCATCAAACGTGGCACATTCGATTCACCTGTATACCCATATTGAGCCAAGCCATCAAGCGGGAGACATACAGAAGACTCGTGGCACGGGTACAACGTAGGGTAGCGCTTTGGATATGCTTCAGTTTTACAACTGTATCTACGGCAACTGCATTGATACTGGCCAGAATTCCACCCATACCTCTCCAAATTAAAAAGAGATACCTCCAGTATCAAATGGCCAAAGACATAGATAGCAGCACCGACTGGGAGATCCTTACCGAATGGCAGCAAAAATGGCGAACGGAATTTGCGGACGGGATTCACATTAACTAGCCATAATTGTATACTTTTAATATTGTGGATGCTCTTGTGCGTAATATCGTACAAGAACGGAAAAAGGAAGAAATAAGTATGGGTTGAATGGAATACCAGTTCTCTTTTCCCAACGAAATGCTCGCGCGGTTCCAGGAAAAGAAGCCATGAGAGAGGAGGTTTTAGTACCTTAGTATGCATAATGCATTTCCTTCTCTCTAAAGAAAAACAACATATATTTATGGATGTATAAAAGCTCAGCCATCACCAAGTATATAACACCACTGTGCGGGACGGGAGTGATTTTTTTATTTTATTATATTACCACCCATCAAGGGCTCATTTTGATAAGTTTTAGTACCTACATACTTTTTATGGCAACCTGCCGGTTCTATCAAACAAGAAAAATCTTGCGATCGTGTAGAGAAAAAGCCAGATCCTAACCTTATGCATTTGTTTCCTTATTCATTATGTTTTACATTACTGTCGTAAGTTAAGATACATTTTGCGATTTTGTTTAAAATTTTTAAAGATTTTCTTGTAAAAAAAACTCCATTCTTCTGACACGCGAAAGTACTGTTTGGTTCAGTAATTTACGGTTCAGTATCTAAATCTGATTTGTTTTATTCTGAATTAGGCTATTGCCGTATAGAGATTTAACCCATTGCGTACTTAGTGAAGGTTTTACGTATAATTAAAATTAATCTACATTGCTCATGTACCCTATTACAGATATTCTCTCAGCTTGGCACCATTGAACCTAAATTTGCTTTTAACGGGCCATTATTGTCCAATTATTATTGAATGCAAATTATGACAATATAATTGAAACGGATGCCGAATTTGCTGAATCATGCCTTCAATGTATACATTTGCTCTAATATGGTTGCCGTCACGAGGTCAAATCAGAATTCAGATGTGTTTAATAATATTCAGGACAATTTACATTCCGAAGCTATTCAAGCCGTAATAGATGAGTAAGTAATGAAAATTGTCAAAATAAACATTACGAGCTGCGACTGTTCGTAAAACGACCATTTATCATTGCTCCCGGGGGCTGGAAAATTAAATTATGTTCGATGCCACCCAGGTTTCACCTGGGTTTATACCAATTAATCCGCATCGCATGTAAAATATGAAATTATCCTTAACGATTTTTTCTTCCTAAACGGTATCTTGATTAATGCTCAAATCAGGCACATTACCATCTAGAAGTGGTGTCAAATCGGGAAGCAAATTATTAATTAAACTAAAAATAGAATAATTAATAAGTTTTGCTTTGGTACAATAGTGCATGGTGTTTCCTCATAAGTTGCTACACCTTCTAAATCAATTATTTTACAGAAGTGGTAAATACTAAAGTTGTTCATTATTACTCACCCTTCCTCACCCAAGTTAAAACAAAAACTTGAAATTCCTAAACATGAAAATTGCACATAAAATGTTTTTAATGGAACAACTTATACGTAATGGTTATATTGTGTATATTTATGGAAAGATCGATTGAATATTTTTCCTAATTTCAGAAATATATGTATTGCTTATGTTTCTTTTAGCCTTTTTCTTTTAAATCGCCGCCATGAATGTTGGTGTGAAAATGTGTTTCCTTCTTACGACGAGTTATGCAATAGTCTGTGTTTTTGTTAATGAAGATGAAGAATTAAATATTTTATTCAATCCACGTTTGCCTAGTAGCACTTTTTTTTAAACGAAAATGTTGATATCTGGATTAAACGCGCTGGTCTTATCCCATGACCCTCTAATAACCCCGACTTAACGCCTGTTGACTCATGTCTCTGGATATATTTAAAGAATATTTGGTCCAAAAGTTCAGTTATAAATACTGATGATTTACGTCTTAGAATAGTGGATGCAGTTAAGAATATTAATTTGCATCATAACCGATACATTCAAAACGTTGCAGCTCAAATTAAAATTATTTATTTGTGCAACTACTACAAAAATAAATTAAGGATACTCTAACTAAGTAAAGGAATAAACCGTGAGATAGAAACAGTTACAACTAAAATAAAGGCAGACGAAGACCTAAGCTCTAGCATTAGGAAAGGGTTCAAAAATATAGTTATGATCAGAGCAGAGAACACAAGCAGTCATGGAGAACTGAAAAAATTATTTTCTTGATGGATGAACGCAGGAAATTAAAAAACCAGTCGAAGAGGGGCGGCTACCAAAAGGTTCAAAAAGTAATACAAGCACAAATTAGAATAGCGAAAAATGAATGGTGGATCTATGAATGTGAAACTAGTGAGAACTTGCGGACTCTACACGATGATTTATGATGAAAGGGCAGGAATATACCAAAACAGGAGCATGAGACATCAATACGCATAAAATAATATAGAAAAACTAAATTGGAAACCTATTCACAGGCAAAATAATGTTTAACCAAGATACGGAGTATTATCCCAAATAATAAAACCAGAAATACAAAGGACCACTGCACATGATAGTCAATTTAAAAGCTAGCAACCAAAGTAGAGCTTTCAGTTATATATTAATGGAAAATCTTAAACATCAATTAAACATGGTTTCAATTCAAGTAGTATTTCCACAAGATCGTATCTGTACACAATTAATAGGAAACCTTATTTTTGAAGAATAGAAAAAAAAGAAAGAATGTCACAGTTATGTCCTTTCTCTACAATTTAGTATCATTCTTATAAATAACATTCCTTACTCGAAAATCTATCTAATATGCTTCTTCCGCCAACCTTAGATTAAGTAGAATAGCCGGAAGCGAAAAATGTGATAAACTCTGATCGTAAATTTTTGTAGAGCCGCACGGTAATAGGACAGGATTGATATAAATTTACTAGAATCCAACAGCCAGACCTAACCTGGCAAACCTGCTCAATTTTATTATTCTCAGGGGTCGAGCTTTTAAAGGGATTCGTAGATTTATAGGCAGAATGCCCCATAATACTTGTACTCCTGTTGGTAATTTTTGTTTCCGAGCGGTGTCGGATTGGCTATTAATTTCCAAGTGAGAGATCGATTGAATCTTGTCAAACGAAAAGCAGTGGTCATTTTAAATCTACCTGCTACCAATGTACAATGTTTCGATATTGGCTAGCTTGTGATTCAGTGATTACCACTATTATATATATGCATGTAAATACTATTTAAAGCACTTTGGTATTTGATATTTATAGTATGTTCACATCAACTTCCTGTTCATAAATATATGCCATTACTGAAATCTAAAACAAAATGTTTGAATAAGATCCGGACCAGATGATATCTCATTATTGTTAATATAATTTCTAGAATCTAGAACTTAAAGGGCAAATGGTACATTGTCCCGAGTCCGACTCCATCCTCTTTATCGGTTCCCCTTTCATCGACGGCTTAGAGGGGCTGACTGGAAGTGGCCTATTTATTTCGGATATTCCACTACACGACGCAACAAGAGATGTTATTTTAGTAGGAGAACAGGCTAGAGCTCAGGTAACAAAGGTCATAAAATATTACTTGTAATTAGATATTTTATGTTAGCTAGTTTTGGTCTAAAACGTAAGTATACAAAATTTCCGGCAGGTCAGAACAATAAATTGGCGAATTATTTTTTTGTTTGGTAATCACACGCATGTAAATGGTAGACATTGACAATTTGACTCTGAAATCTTGCGGTTTTCCAACTTCTCCTGGAAAATATCTGATATGTCTTAATTAAGATTTTCTTAAATTGATATTTAAACGTTTTTAAACAGAAAAATGAATTTAAAGTTTGCAGACATTTCCAAGCGCAGTCGTATTTTCTCTAGGGGAATCTTTTATTGGCTCAGGCTCTTGCCTAGATGGGGCCGTTTGAAAACTTTCACAAAACTTCTGCTTCTCTTTCATGAGACGAGACAGGAAGTGCCGAAAGTATGAAGGGTGATGATGGAGTTTTAGAATAAATAAAGGAACCTCCGGATTATTTTTAGAAGGCATCAGGACTTAACGTATTTGAAGGATGTGTACATGTAAAACATATGTACAGTTTAATTGCGGTCTACTCTATTTATTCCATATACCTATTAAAAACCTAGTTTTCGAATTTTCTCAAATTCGGCACGTAATTATCATTTTGGAAACCTGTCAGGCGCCACAGTCCGACCTATGCCAATAACATTAAGAAAAACGAGGCCTGAACATCGGGAAACATATTTCATTATATAGAATTACAGACTTAATCTTGAAACATCTGCCAAGTTGTAGGAATTTTACAGTAAGTACACCCAGTTACCAATAAAATTGAAACAAAAGTAACTTCAGCTTATTGCAAAACATGTAACGATTGCACGTTATTTGCCGTTAAAACTTCATACAAGTAAAAGTCGTGTCTAATTTTTGGATGGCGTATCGAGAATACACGGAAATCAAACTAGCCGGATTTTGTCAAGTTAATATAAAGTTTGCTAAACGTCAAATTACAATTGCGATTATAGAAACTATACAGGGTGGCCATTTACTAAATCTTTGTATGGGTAACTTCTACATTTTTAAAGATAGAGCGATATATATAGATTCGATAGCCTATTCATCACCGTTTTCAAAATGTAGGTACCCGACTTGGTTCCTGAAATATCCTGAAAAGACAAGAAATCAACACTTTCTTAATTATCACTTATTACGTAAACGGCTTAACTTAGAGAAAAAGTTAAAACTGCCCTTAGTACAACTTTTTGCGTTGAATCCAATAATCTAGCACTCGTTATCATAGGCAACTTGATTTAAGAGATAAGAAATAAACTTGTGGTTTTTTAAATGGTAATCATAGTTGGCTGTGGGCCTTTTAAAATCCTTATTTTTCTCTGAATTTAACTATATAATTGTTTATATGTTTTTCTCCTTTTGTTGCCGTAAAACTTCAAAAGAAGATCAAAAATGTGTAGTAGGCTATGGAAACAAGAACTATATTATCACACAAAGCACAAAACAATAATGAATCGTTTAAATTAAATATTCAAATTGACTTCCTTTGAAGTCCAGGCATTTTTTTGGAGTTGTGTGAAGGTGCACTATCATGTTGAAAATATGCCAATTTTCGATACCATGCTAACGGAAAACTATTCAACATGTCTTCAAGTTCATTTGGTAAAAGTGTAAATATCAATCCATATTTAAATTGTGATTATAAAAGCATGGACCAATAATTTTATCACTAAAAATGACTCACCAGACATTCGCAAAAAAAAAATACGTTGATCTCGCCTATTTTCAATTAGATAATGATTTTCATTAGCCCAGTAAACATCATTGTGTCTGCTAATTATTTCATTATTGTTTTGAGCTTTGTGTGATAATATAGTTCTTGTTTCCATAGCCTACTACACACTTTTTATCTTCTTTTGAAATTTTACGGCAACAAAAGGAGAAAAACACACAAACAGTAATATCGTTAAATTCAGAAAAAAATAAGGATTTTAAAAGGCCATTTAAAAAACCATAAGTTTATTTTTTATCTCGTAAATCAACTTGACAACGAGTGCTAGTTTGTTGAATTCAACGCAAAAAGTTCTACCAAAGGCAATTTTTACTTTTTTTCTAATTTAAGCAGTTTACGAATTATATGATAATTAAAAAAGTGTTGATTTCTTGCCTTTTCAGGATATTTCAGGAACCAAGTCGGGTACCTAAATTTTGAAAACGGTAATGAATGGGCAATCGAATTCTGCCCAATTTTGCCCATTTAACGGATTCTCTATCTTTAAAAATGTAGAAGTTACCCTTACAAAGGTTCAGAAAATGGCCACCCTGTATATAGAGAGAACAAAAATGTAGGTAATCATTCAACTTGTCGAAGTGTGACGCAAGTTTCGTAAACAAGGTCAATATTTGCGTTTGCCTTTAATATATCCCCGCATAGCTTACGTCTCCTTTATTTGTCCTCCAGCATATTTACACTTTCTCTTCCAGGCCTAAGGGCCACTCAACCTTTTTGATATCTGATCAGATCCATCTCTTAATAATATTTAATTTCAAGCACAAGCTATGCTATTTAATAAAGGGAAAAGAAAATGGTTCTCAAGATTTTTGCAAAAAAGCGAGCAAGAGTGAATGGTTCCGGGATTTATGTGTTCCAAGTCTAATTAAAGTGTCTTATGTATAGTACGAAAAGGATTAATATTTCATTTTTCTTAAGGCGACAGTTATCTAAACCATCGTACCATTCCATGCCATCCCGTGTAAAATCATGTGAACGATCAAGATCATGTAGAAGGTTTCAAACACATAATTAATATGTGTAGAAATGTGAAATTATGCCGCTCCGCACCTGAAGTGTCGAGTTAACTTGTATTGTCCCTGATAATATTTGTGACTTTTGTAAAAGTAAATTATTGAGTATTTGAAAGAAGTCCTGATTTCATGAAAGTCTACTATGTAGGCAATAAAGCGTCATTAACATTTATATTATTTATGGAAAAATCATGTAGTTAATATTCATATTCAACCTTTCTGTTTAACCTACTTCTTAGATGTTTTCAGATTAAAAATTATTTTTAGGTACAGATACTTTTTGAAACATTTCGAATAAGGAATCGTTACTTGAAACATAATATCCCCTGCAAATAATACGTTTTTATAATTTTATTTCCAGGATGGTTTGCGTCGAAGAATGGATAAACTTAAAAGCTCTATAGAAGAAGGAAATCGTGCAGTAGATAAAGAACGCGAAAAGAACGTTAGCTTGCTACATTTAATATTTCCGCCGGATATAGCTAAACGTCTTTGGCTCGGTAAGTATTAGTAATTTTATTAGTAAAATTGAAGTTCGGTTCAGACATAAGCAATTCTAAAAATAGCGGAGACGCTTGAACTGCTTGATGTTAAAAACTTTCGCATTGAATATTGTGCACATAGTTTTCCTCAAGAAACGTCACTTGAATTCACGTTAGAAACTCAAATTTTTAGATAACATTATGCAAAATTAAACTGGTTTAATTATGCACATTAAACTAAGATTAATACAATTTCTATGTCTATAAAACAACTAAAAATGCATAAATTAATTATTCATTTCTAATTACGGAAGTTTTTCAAATATACAGTTTCCAGTCCTATAAATGATTTAGCGGATTTAAATAGAAGAGCCAACTGTGTTTAAACAAAACTGCAACTTTGCTGCAAATCATGTAAATTTAAATTTTTGCCACTTAGGCTCCCTAGCTTTTCCACCTTTCAATTAGTTTCGACAAATACGGAGTATAAAAATCAGAATTGTAAATTGGAAGTTTAAGAACTGATGCAAAAAAATAAGAAGATTTCAAAATATACAGAAACCAAAAATTATTTAAGGTCCGAAGATCGAAATAATATATATTTTTTGTTTAAATTTGCAAAATTATCATCCTCAACCATGATAATTATATGAAAGAATGTACTTTTCTGATTGTAATCTTATTTATCCGTAAAGCGGTTCGTTCCATCGATGCCAAACAATTCTACTTTGTTCTTAGTTCAACTTTTTCAGCTTTATACAGGGTGTCCCGTAAGCTCATGATCAAAAGGATACTGCGATATTCTTTGGACCAAAAGAAGACGATCTGACCTAACTTTTATTAACAAAAAATGTCTGGCTCAAAAAAATTATTTTTTTTGAAATATTGGGAGAATGGTACGATATATTTTAGTGAAACCCGCTGTGATTTTGTTCTTATGTGAGACTCATATTTTAATAAAACAATCGAGTCCAGCCGTTTTGGACAAGTGGGGAATTAATGAGTGTCGTGGTACAAAAACTACCAGAACTTTTTAGTTGGAGGATGAAATCAACTCATTTTCTTTCGGTTGATGCACTAATCATGCGTTCACAATTTTGTGTTCTTTGTAAAATCTGGTAGCATTTAAAGTTTTTGCGTAAAAAAATATGTCTGTTTTCATGTCACTTAGCAATGCTAGATATTTAAGTCCAAAAGCAAAAAAAGTCCGATTAACGCTAAACATGTTCTATAATCTACTTGAATTTTATCGATAACGTTTTGAATATATTGGTTACGATTACTACTAATATCGTTCATTGCATCTACTATTTTAAGGCGACTAACTGCTGTCTCCTACACAATCAGCCCTGTGCTGTATTATAAATGCTATTTTTAACGGCCACACGTTATGGCAACTTAACAGTTCAGGATAACATTTTCGATAACGCAGAAACACAACCGAGGTGTGCTATATCTCCGAGTTAACGTATGCGTTTCCGACCCAGTTATCCATCAAACGTTAAAAAGGAAAAAAATATTGGGTGCATAAAGTGAGATGCCCAGAGAAAAGAATCAAGAGGTGTTACGTCGGGGTTATTAGAGGCCATGGGATAAAACCAGCGCGTCTAATCCAGATATCAAAATTTTCGTTTGAGAAAAGTGCTACTAGGGAAACGTTGTGGAGTGAATATAATATTTAATTCTTCATCTTCATTAACAAAAACACAGACTATTGCATAAATCGTGGTAAGAAGAAAACACATTTTCACACCAATATTCATGGCGGCGAATGCGAAGAAAAATGCCAAAAGCAAAAGCAATACATATATTTCTGAAATCAGGAAAAAATATTCAATCGATCTCTCCATAAATATACACAATAAAATCATTATGTATAAGTTGTTCCATTAAAAAATATTTTATGTGAAATTTTCATGTTTAGGTATTTGTTTTTTTTTAACTTCAGATTTAAGAAGGGTGAGTAATAATGAACAACATTGGATAGGACCCGCTCGTCCAATCCCGATGTCAACATTTTCATTTAATAAAAGTGCTACTGGGCAAATGTTATGAGGGTGGAAAAAGCGCCTTGTCAAATTTCAATACTATTTTGATTTGTTGCTTTATATAATTTTTGAAACGTAATATAGGAGAAACGGCTAATACAAATATAGGCAAAATATGTATTTTTGAAGTCAGGAAGAAAAATCCTATTGGCATAACTAAAAATATATAGGGTGTTTCATTTAAAAAATGCCTTTATGTTAAATTTTGACATTTCTGTGTTTTATAATCTTATTTTAATTTCAGATTTAAAAAATATGAGCAAAATTAAACAACTTTTGTGTTGGTCACTTTCGCAATTTTTTTTTGAAATAAACTATCTAGGGTGGGGTTTTAACTTATGAGGAAACACCATTTTAAAGTATTGTTTTCGAATAAGTAATATGAACTGTTGAATAAAAATACCGGTTTGTTGATTGCAAGTTTGCCATGTCCGTAATAGCAGTGTTTCTCACTTTCTCAAAATGCTTTTATAAAGTGCTCCATAAGTTGTTATTGATAATAGGCTCTATAATTGCTAAAATTACAATATGCAAAAAAGTCAACCACACTTATTTGTTAGTTATCTTCATTTGCTAAAAATGTTTATATGTTGAAAAATATCTCTTACTTTACGAAATCTCCGACTATGAAACTACATACGACTAAATTAGTCGTATTACATATTAATACGAGAGCTGTTTGATCGCCTAATTTGTTATTAAATATTAAGATGAATCGCATCATTGATTAAATTCACTTTTGATATGGGTGCCACGTAATATCTTTTTAACGAATTCTAGTTGTTTGGAAGGATTACTCAGTTCGAATGCCAAGTTTCATAAAGTTTTATCGGAAACGGCTTTTCTCAATGAAACTCATTCAGCAAAATTGCACAAAATACTTCACGGTCACGTTCCGAAAGAATAGCATAAACGACCGGATATAAATAATTTATTATCGTCTGTAGGAGAAACGATAGAGGCCAAGACACACGAGGATGTGACAATGCTTTTTAGCGACATCGTGGGATTTACGTCAATTTGTTCGACGGCCACCCCAATGATGGTGATAAATATGCTTCAAGATCTCTACAATCAGTTCGACGTTTACTGTGGACAGATTGATGTATATAAAGTAAGTTATTTTATTTTCAAAGATGCCTCAGATTTCCTTCCCCTGCATATATGCACGATATAGAAGATCTTGATCGAACCTTACATAATAACATATATAACTTTACCTAAAATGTACCTATTTGCGTTTAATGAGATTTGAAAATAATCCAAACTTTAGTGGGCAACTGTTTGTTTTCTTCAGTTGTCTTTAGATTTAGGCACACTGGCCTGTGTATTTAATTTATATTTTACGAAAAGAAATGTTCAGCGTCTGATAAAATTTCATAAACTTTCACCTAGATAAAATTCCATTGGGCTGTGTCTATGACGTTGTAGAATAGCAGTTATAATGTGAAAAGAGTCGCTAATAGTTCTTACCAGAGGTTACAGAAAAATTTATCTGAAGGCGACGAAGAGTAATTGCTGCTCATGCATTGAACATTTATCATGCTTGATGATAATTGCTTTTGTGATAATATAAAGTATCTAGGTGAGACTGTAATAGAATAAAACCCCGTTGTCACTAACAACCACTCCACATACGCACTGAAAATAGTCTCTACGTTTAACTACAAACATTTCTACTACCTTATGGGTAATAAATTGTTCTGTTTGTTCACTCAGAATTAGTCCAAATATGCCAAACCAGCGTAATTAGGTAGAATTCAAGGTAAATGTTATGAAAAAACAACATAAAAGAAAACTGAAAAATATATTAAACTGACCGAAAATACTGAAAGTTTACAGCAAGCAATCAGAAATAACATGTCTGCGTTAAAAGAACGATTTGCTAAATCCTAATAAAAAATTGACAAGCTATATTAAGCAGCTGCAAGTAGAGCAACATCTTTTGTCCCGTGTTTTTTCTCGATAAAACCCTCATCCTAGGATAGTGGTAAAACTGTTTATTTCACACAGCAAATCAGTCGCATGCTATATCACATGGGCAGCTAAGACCTAATACATTAGACTGCACATTACAGAGTCGCTTTAATAAGCCAGATCCAAGCGAATGTTTCACATCAACAAGCTGTAGATAGGCGGAAGAAGTACTGATTTTATTCGACTTTTTTTGGGAATTATGTGGGTTACATGGGTCGGCAGGATTCGGCAGACAGTTTTATCTCTACAGTGCAGTTTGTTATATCTGTTCTAAATTTAAAAACTTTTTGGGCGCTGTCCACTATTACCTATAAAATCACCAATTACCTCTCCAAGAATCACACATGGAAATACTTGGGTTTATGAAGAAATAACACCTCGACATGAAAACATGTTTTGATTTCATTAGGAATGCCAGGTTTCAGGATCATTATAACTTGTGCATTGAGCTAAATCATTGAGTTAAACCAGGTTGTCATGATAACTTTTTGTAACTTATGAAGTTTTTGAAGAGTTATTAATTTGTATCCTTACCTCTTTGGAATATTTTATTGCAGTGAAGCTCTCTTGTGGATTGAAATGTTTAACTGGTAGCGACAAAAGAAGAAAACCAACAAGGTTGCAGGCAATTTTTCTATTGAATGAATTTCAAAAGGAAATTATATTTATTTGATAAGTTTGCTTATTAAAAATTACACACCATTGAGCTACCGCTACCGTCCACCTTGCCCTGAAGGATAAGTTGCCGAAGGCGATATTTGTTGTGTCTCATCAGGTGGCCAAAGTATTCCAGTTTCCTTTTCTTTATCGTGAATGTGATTTCTTGATGTTTGCCGTTTTTTCTGAGTACTTATCGTTTGTGACGTGATCCTTCCAGGATATTCGGAAAACACGCCGATATACCCATATTTCAAAAGCCGAGATATTTTCCACAAGTTGTTCTGTCATGTCTGTGTCATGGTTTATGCTTCTACTACGCATAACAAGACTGTGGATATGTGGCATTTCATCAATATGATTTTTAGTGGTAGTGATATGTTTCTCCCGGTAAATATGTTTTTCAGTCTAACAAAACTTGTTCTTGTCTTCTCAATCTTGGATTTGATTTCTATGTTCATGTGACTGTTAACAATTGTCTTTAAATATGTATATTTTTCAACCTGTTCTATGGGTGTTTGGTTTGATGTACGTCTTTCTGTTGGAATTCGTTGTTTACTAATGCACATCCACTTTGTTTTCGGAATATTTGGTTTTAGTCCAAATTCCTCGGATATATCGTTTACCTTCTGTAATAGACTATGAAGATTTTCAAGACTATTAGCTACGATGGCAGTGTCGTCAGCGTATCTAATGTTATTGATGAGTTTTCCATTCATATTTATTCCCTCTGTGGCATCATAAAGCACCTCGTGAAAGATCGCTTGTGAGTATAAATTGAAAACTCTAGGCGATAGTACGCATCCTTGACGGACTCCTTTTTTGATTTTAGTGTCTTCCGATAATTCTCCAGCGATTTTTATATTTGCAGATGGATCCCAGTTAAGACTTGTTATAATTCTAATATTTAGAGTTTAGAACTGTAGTTTTAAGAAGTTCCACAAGTATTCCGTACTTTACGTTGTCGAAGGCTTTTGAAAAATGGACGAAACATATATCTCGGTTCATGTCTCTCCACCTCTGTAGAAGCACCTGTAAGGAGAAAACCGCCTCTCTGGTGCAGTATGTTATCAACGATTCTTTATCGAAATGTCAGCCGAAATCTGAATGCTCCAAGCCGTACATATCTTAGGCGTGTTCTTTAGGTCGAGGGCTATTTAGCAAACTGAAGAGATACTCAATTAGAAACTGCCACGCCAACACTTTAATGCGAAAAATCTCAACATGCACTGGTCAGAAAAAACGCTAATGGTTCTCCTGACGTCTTATGGGGCAAATTAATAGACATTCTAGCAAGTAAAATAAAACTGACACAGCTTTTAACACTTTTCAAGCCTCCCGGTCTAAGGAAACTCACACATCTAAGTGGAACATTGCAGGCGATTGATCTACTTTGATATAGAGGACTATATTGCAATAACGGCCGCTCTCGAAAAAAAAAAACACTTTATCAAAAAGTATTATGAATTTATGAACAAGTTTTCTTTCGGTTTACCTATCACACAAATCCTTGCTTAACTGCATAAAATGAGTATGGAAGAATGATATGGAAGATAAAAATTTTCGTGTAGTTACCTAACTTCAGCGTTTACTTAATTATTTGGCAAATTTACAAATTGTATCGAATTAAACATATGTTAAGACAAAGTGTGAGAACAATGTCCTTAATCATGTTTAGGTAGAAACAATAGGAGATGCTTACTGTGTAGCAGGAGGACTGCACAAAGATACCAAAACACACGCTCAACAAATTGCATGGATGGCAATGAGGATGATCGAGACATGTTCCTTCCATCAAACTCACGATGGACAGCCAATCAGGGTATGTGTTTTACCAGTGTTTCTGCATGTATGTTTTTAGAAACTTTTTCGGGTGCAATTACGGACATTTGGTTACATTTGAAAACCGTCTTATTGTCGATATTTAAAATTATTGATTTTTAGTATCATATAAATGGCTGCAAAAAGATAATTGATTTTAATATTAAAATAACCGCATTTTTTTTGCAAATTTGGAATATGTTGTGTGAACTTCTAATGTTGGCTCACTGTTATTTTCATTTTGTTTCTCTACACCTTAGAAACAATAATTGGCCTATAAACTTGAAAAGAAAACCAAAATCCTTTCTGCTCCTTTTGCAACTGGGACTTCCGTGTAGAACGTTTTTATAGCTGTGTTTATTATCCAGAATATTTCAACGAAGTTGAAGAAATTTGGTATTCTGTAGCCGCTGCTTTAGCTACTTATGTATTCCAAATGTTGCCTTGATTTCCCTAGTTTCAAAAGTAGTAAATATTATTGGATTTACGTCCTGTCTTTATCATGCGCGCACTTAATCAGTTGGTTCACCGAAAGAATATATTTAAAGCATAAAGTAGCGTATTGAGTATGTTGTGCAAATCTGTCATTATTTTGTCAAATTTTGTTACATAGATATCATGTGCATTAGTATACAGTATAAAATTTAATATTTTTTCTTAATTTAAATGAATATAATAAAAAATACATTTAATAAAATTAATTAAAGATCTGGTTTTATGCAGGAGATTGTGCAAAAATTTAGTAACAAAAGTTTGACCAACTATGTACGTTATTTGACAAATTTTCCAGAATTGTTTCAATCTAATTTCTTCAATACAGTTTTGCAAAAAATATTTGTAGACGTACGGGAACAGAACTATACATATMGCAATGAGACTGGCCCAAAAACAAAAATTTCCAAACCACGCACGTAACGTAAGAAAACACGAACGTAAGAATATAAACTATTCAAAGGACAAAACACTTCCGTTCGCTGACATAAAAAGGCAAAAGAGTCAATACAAAAACCCCAAAAAAAACTAGAATAACTGAAGAACAACTTCTACTACGAATAAAATGGAACAGTAATCTGCTCAACTGGACCATACTGAATTTTCTTTGCCTTACAAGGCAAACCAGACAATGGCGCTTCCTTTTTCCAGCAACACTTCTTGAACACGTCCAAACATGGTAAGGCAAATGCTCCAGAACTCATCAAATTTGTGCTCTAGCTGATTTGATTATAAGTGCAAATTTTTTAACTAATTATTCTCAACAATTTCAATTTATAAACAGTATACATTAACTTGCTTGGCATAAGATGATAGAAATATTATTTCAGTTATGTTATTTTCAGAATCTAACACTATTCCATATCTATTCACGTAAATGTAAGTAATCGGCAAATTTAGTAGGTATCCATAATTAGTCACGTCATAAAAGAACTCCTCGTTATCTCGTGTTAATTCCAAAATATTATTACAATTTATGTTGCATTGAATTCTCTACTTTCAGTGTCATACGCGGAAAAGCCAACAAATTTTAATTTCTAGAATGGTATTACTTTTTGGACTTTATCAAATGCATTGCAAATATATTTAAATCGACTACACGACGACGAAATTACTAAAGAATAATGGTAAAATTATTACTTGTTTATTCGAAACTATAAAATAACAAACTAGAAAGCCTTGTCAGAAAGTTATAATTTTGCAAAGTTTATAAATTTTTTGAAATTTTGATCGATATGTGAAAAGCTCATTTGTATTTTAATAAACAAACGAGCTATGTTGCGTTCTAACTATAAATATGAAGCTGTTTTAAGCGGAACCGATAAGGTCGCTTTAGAAAGTAAACCAAACTCACTTAAAATGTAAAAGTGGTGATGTAAATCATCCTGTATATTCAGCGTATCTTCAAATGTAATTATGTAACCCCAAAAGCCCAAACTACTACTACTCCTACAAATTAACTGAAAGCCGCGTTTGAGGTAACCTGAAGTCATTACCGTTTCGTCGTTAACTAATCTTAACCACTTCTACAAATTGTAAGGTCTACCATCAAATTAGTGTGACGCACATTTGTCTTCAGTCGCTTGAAGTACGTGAATTAATTTAACGACTTGCATGCGCCCTTTAATCTGCTTTTATGGGCTGGTAGGTGTGAAATTATAGAACCAGTATAATATAATAACAATTATATAAAACATGTACTTCGTATGCAGCAACAGGAGGAATATTGTCAGTGACATAGATGTACTCAATAGATTCTCGACAGGAAGCGATCATCGAATCGTAAAAGCAAGATGAAAATGAACATAAGAAAGAAAAGAATCAACAGGATCTGAAATACAAATTTCAAGAAGTAGATGACTCCCAAAAACATAACTGAGTACTACGAACAACTGAATAAGTTCTTAAAGATAAACGATCACATTACAGTGGACAAAATGCACAAAAATTTTACAGCCAGTATGAATGCAGCAAATGGAAATAACTCAAAGTCAAAACTAGGGGCAAAAACGAAATGAAGAAACAAAGACAATAATGAAACAGAGAAGAGAAGTGACAGAGCAAACTACTGCAGAGTACAGAAATATCAACCAAGAAATTGCCAAGGAAATGGGGAAATAAAGAAAACACTGAAAACAGATTACTCAAAGTTCTAAGAAAGAAAAACGTGATCTGGAAAACGAATGTACACAAAAACAAAAATGGGGACATAATGACAAATAAAAGAGACATAATAACGACTATCTAAACTTTTTACAAACAAATATACTCAACACCAAACAACGAGTTAAACCCCAAAATCCCTGCGATAGATAAAGCAGAAATAATGGCAGTTTTCAAGAGCATGGAAAATAATAAAGCACCAGACGAGGCGAAGACGGTTTAGTAATAGAAATCATAAAAGATGGTGCACGAAGAATTATTAAAGCCCCCAAGGTCATATCTATCAAATGTCTACTCGAAGGGGTAACACCATCTTAGTGGGAAAACGTACAAATTATTATCTTACATAAAAAAGGGGATAATACAGGTCTTGAAAATTATAGACCGATCCGCCTGTTAAGTCACCTCTACATGTATGTGTAATTTTTAGATGTACAAATCGTACACGAAGATTTTAACCACACGTTTAACAAAAAAACAGGGATACCTACAAAACAGGGGATGCAGAAATCGAAATAGTGTGTTATGCTGACGATGCCCCTCTCATTGCAGAAAGTGAAGATGACTTATGAAGGTTATTACACTTATTCAGTCTCAGTCTCAAAATATGGAAACATCACCGACCAAAGTGGACAAAGTGCTTAACAACATCAAAAACCCCTCTAAGATGCAAACTAGAACTTGACGGTAGAGTAATCGAGTAGAAAATAAAATTTAACTACCTTGGCGTGGAACTTTCGGCTTTGGGGATATTCAGGCAAAGGTGAGAGATCAAACAACAAAAGCAATTAGAACAGCTGGCTGTCTGAATTCAATATGGTGCAATAAGATTATGGGAACGGACACTAAATCGAGGATCTACAAAACCGTCATAAGGCCGGTGATGACATATACTGTAGAAACCAGGCCAGAAACAGAGAAAACCAAAAGACTCCTAGAGACAGTTGAGATGAAAATCCTCCGTAGAATCACCGGAAAGACACTGCTGGAGAGAGAGAAAAGCGCGGATATCAGAACAGCCTGTAATGTCAAGAACATCAGTGAATGGGTAGCAAGCAGGAAGAAGGAATGGAATGAGCACATAAGCAGGATGGACCACCGCAGACTTGTGAGAATCGCTCGCGACAAGTTCCCTTTGGGGCGAAGAGACGTTGGGCGCCCCAGGAAACGATGGAGCGACAACCTCGCGCAAGTGAACGATAATTGAACAGGCAGACAGGAAGAAGAAGAAGAATATGTTTTACTTGTAACCCAACCTTAACTATGACTTATGGCTCTTAGACCGTATATCTTTAGACTGAAGACTACCTGTGACTCAATTCTTATGACTTCTGACCAAGTATCAAATGACTGAATGTTCGTTCCTGCTGTGGCTTTCTTCTATAGTTAATCATGCTGATAATAGCAAAAATTACTAATTTTTAAAGAATAGTCGAAGAGCAATAAAGAAGAATAATAAAGAATAGTCGAAGTTTAAAGAACATTTTATAAGAATAGTCGGCTTAAGTGGCCATTGGGACCAAGTTCCTATTGGGACGGAGAGTCGTTGGGCGCCCCAGGAAACGACGGAGCGTCAGGCTCACGCAAGTGAATGATAACTGAACAGGCAATTGGCTTAAAATTAAGAATGAAAAATAAGAAAACATGTGGTAATGTTTGAAGTTCTAGAAGGCTTTGCAAATGCGAACAAAAACCCCTTCATCATTATGCGTTCGGAATTTATACATATACAGCATTTTTAAGTTGCCCCAGAGCAAAAAATCTATTGGGTTGAGATTCGGGGACCTTTTGAACCTCAACCCTATCAAAATATTTCGCGAAATAGCCAATTTATTGTCTCTCGGACATCTCGAAAATAATGAGCAAACCCATTTGGCATCTTGCTTTAAATGTATTTTCTTAATGATTAAGGCACAATAAAGGTTGATGTTAAATTGCCTTTGTCCGTTTTCTGAATTACAGAAGACCAGTGGCTCTGTGTTGACCAGTAATGCACAGTTTTTGTGTTAAACATTTCCTTGTTTCAAATTGTTGCGTTGCTGTTCCCTATACATTGGATATATTTTTCCACAGCTTTATGTAAGCCAGTGACCACAAATGACTAATGTTTTGGTATCTTGCTGCACTAAGGTTTAGATTCGACAATGTTTCTGCGGTGTATTTATTGTCCTGTTTGCTCAATATCTTCTAAGTAGTTGACAATTCGTAATTACTCTTTGGCGAATAGTCTCTGATTCCATTATTTCTGTAAAACGCAAGGTTCTAATCTGCTACGTTCAAATAGTAAAGCATTATATTCGCGGAAAAATTATGCTTTTCTATGAACTAAACTTTCTGTTTAGCCCA